CAGGCAGCTGAAGTTGAGCAAATCCCGTTGGAATCACTGCTGGAGTTCAGCATCTTGTTTATGCTACATACCCGTGCCCTGGCCAATCCTCATTTGCGAGCTCGACTGGCTGAGGTGCTTGAATCGTTGATCCCGTTGCGAGATGATGAAGCGTGGAATAGCAGTCAACGGCCCAGCGGCCTACTGGACGTCCATAATCTGTCTTTGTAAGTTGGCTCCTTCTTCCACACTCTTGTTAGTGATACGGAACGGTTATCGTCGAATTTTCACACTAACCTGGTTGCTCATGTGGTAAAGTGTGTGCTGTACAAAGCGTGGTTATCGTCCATGGGTACGTCCCAATCTCAGAGTTGGGCATCGTTTTTTAAACCAAACGTAAAACTATCATCTTTTAATTGCCCAAGTTCAGTTTTGACAATTAATAACAATGCACTTTCGTGCCCTAGTTTTGATTAGTGTCTCATGGCTGCCCATTTTGATAAAAGAGCAGATAACAGCTTTAGAGTTGTTTTGATGAATTCCGGTGCATGCTAATTGTGGGATTCCATATTCTTCTGTAAGTTAGGTGGATCATCCTACTGTAGAACGATTAGTGCTGCCGGATGTGATTTCGTAGCTCAGCCCGTTAAACGTGTACTGTGCAAACGCTCCGATGGCGTTCATCCAACTTGGGGTGTTTAGAGACTATCCCCCTATTACAAAATCTGACCGCGTAAATGCGATCCGAATGTGTGCGTGAAAAAGACTTCTTGTATTGGTTTTAGGGGCCAATAAAAACCAGCTTGTCCGTCAAGCTGTTTTTCACTATGTTTTCCCGGATATGACTGGGTAAGCGACTCGTTTATTTCCCGTTCAATCCCGCCATTATTCTCATCTTCCCTCACATATAATGCATTTCTTAGCCTTCGTCGGCAGCGCATGTTTGTACCAGATTCCGGTTCCACAAGCTCGGAAGTTTTGGAACACGCGGTAGCTGCCCTGCTCACCGCGTTCGTTTCCATCGAATTATCTCCAGGCACTGGAGCAGTGGGTAGTGCGGGCTCAGCGGCTGAAGTTCTTATCGCTTCCGCCTCGCGTGGTTCCTCTCAGTTGAACGAAGCTCATCAGTCCGATGCACCAAATACACCGCCAGCGGATGAGATCATGAACACACCAGCCAGTGATCCGCACACAGCCACGGTGGGTTTTGAGGAAAAGTTCCAGTATCGACGTCCTATGTATGCTTGTTTGAGATTCTGGCATGGAAACGCATTCTACGATCGTCAATTCCATGTAAGTTTACCGATAGATTGTTGATAAAAATACGACTTGTGTCTTGAATGAATTTCCACTATTTGTTTTGAATGTGCACACCTTAATATACGAGGCAAGAAGATAGTCACATAAAACTATAATGACCAATCATAAAACCCTGTCAATGGGAGCCCCGGTTTTCGGAGAAGTGGATCACAAACGATTTCGGCAGGTTAATAAATTTGTCGTCTTGTTTAGGTAGCATCAAAGATGAATGTCACCAAAGTCCTTTTGGAGGTGATGGAGTTCGAGCCTTGAAACCGTGCACGTCAGTTACAGTGAACTGAACCGATTATTCTCAATTTCGCTTTGATTGGCTAACCCACCATCTCACTTCTCAGAGGGAATCGTTTCACAAATCTTTTATAATCCTGTCCCACAATACTCATACAAGATGGTACCGTTAACCAACCTATAAATGTTAGGTAACTCGGTATGTTAATTAGCCGAAATTAAGAAAGGCTAGAACAATATGATTTCCTTTCCCTCGTTTGTAAGCTTTGTCCGACCCTGCTGTTTTCTTTTTGCTATTATTTGTTCCTTTGGTTGTTCATCTCCCGTGGTTACCCAAGAAGAACTTTAAGCTGCTGTCCACTTTCCTAACACATCTTTCTAGATGTAGCTGGATATCTCGTGAAATCCTCCATCACTTCGTCATTTCACAACACAACCTCTTGTCACTTATTCTCCGCATCAGTGGTAACTAATCGTTCCCATCCGTTGCGTGCAGATGTCATAAAGTGTGCGTCTTCTTTCTTCACCCCACCCCATCCCATTGCAACTATATTCGTTCACATAACCTCCTATCGGTCTTCTGTGGTATCTTATCTTATTCGATTTCACAGTAATCCAGAACACATCGCTTTCGATCTTGGCCCACTAATGTTTTAAATAGTGCTTTGTTTTGTCCTTGATTTCTAGCTTTTTCTGGTGTTGTTGAACGTGTTTACTTTGTTTCATTTTGGCTTGCAGCTGCTGAAAATTCCGCTTTCGTTGTGTTTGACACGTACATCTGACTGACTAAGTGACAACCGAAGTCACGGATCGAAAAAATATATGAATATGACTAGCTCACTGCAAAGGTGTGACAAGTTTCCTTCTATGCAACCCGAACTGCGAACAATTTAGCTGTTCCAATGAGAATCACAACAGATTCCCTGGCGGATGTTCATCGTGCAATCCCATTCTTCCATTCAATAATCATCTTAAGCGCCTGATCAGCGAATTGGAAAAGTTCGCACAATGAAAGTAAATCGGAACTCAAATTTTGAGTAACCCCGTCAAATAAATATTTAGATTTCCTGCACTTCTGCATTCAGACTGTGTGCCAAGCAAATCATGGTACAATAATCTTAATGAAAAAGAAAAGCGTTCCGTAATTTGCATATGAACGGAATACTGCCAGGTTGCCCAGGCCAAGGCAGGTAAATTCTCTTGAGGAATCCTAAGCCTGATCCGCAGGGCTGCTGGACGGTGTGTGAATACCGCAATCCGTCGCTGGCCCGTGTGCAATCCATCGGATCATACGCCCTGTTGACGGGGTCAAACGTCCAAGGTGCCCAGTACACCTTGATGCCTAAATGAGTCTGTGACCATTGCCACAACCGGGAGGATGTGTGTGGTTCGTATGCCTCTTCTTGTTTTTTTTCGAATCAGTGTTTTTGGCCGACTGCCCTAGGTGAACTACCAATGCTCCACGAACCTGTTTATAACCTCAAATGTCGGCTTTTCGTCCTCTCACTTTGATGGGAAAACACCTCCGCCACGAGAAGGCATTGAGTAGGGCTTTCTCAGCAGAAGCTCTTTGAGACGCTTGGTCGTATGGGAGCACTTCACGAGGTGCAAGGGAGGGATAATCCTAGACACACCCCCGAACTGGGATTCGTCATTGATCATCTGAATTCAATAACTTCAGAGTCTGGATTTTAATCACACACTAAATCCAATAAGTTGCATTCACAACCGGACAATGCGCGCACTCCCAAGGAGTGGAAAGTACACACACATACACAAGATCACAATACTCAGGCTCCGAACAATGTTGAATCCACGTGAACGATACAGAGGGAAAAGTTCATCGCATGTAACGTCGTCCGTGCATATCAGGGAAGTAAGCGTTCAACTTCCAAATCAGACTTTTATGCTTCGGGTAGCTCTGCCGAAATATGAACAAAGCACGCGTTGTTCATGATTTGCAACGAGGATGAAACAACTGTCCACTATGTTCTCGATAACGTTTTTTCTTTTTCAACTATTACAGTTGCAGGTTTTCAGTCAGCATATTCCCTCAATCTTTGTTAAAATGTATCCCCCCCCCACGGATCAGACTCCTCCAGACACCGCTTGTTTACTCGGTCTCATGTGAGATTCTTACATTTCACATGGGTTCGCTTCCCCGAGTTCTCCTCGAAATTCACGGCTATGCCGTTTTATTTCAACCATATATGATGTTTGTCTCCCTACCTCAGGATCTGGAATCCGAAGCGCTGGAACACATCGATGATGTGACTCCGCCATTATTTCTACAATTCCTATCACTCCTTGTAAACGACGCGATTTTCCTGCTGGACGAGGCGATCAGTTTATTGGCACAGTTGAAAAACAAGGAGCGTGAACGTGATGCTGCCGGTGGTCGGTAAGTTATGTTTATACGCATGCACACCTCGGTTTATCCGTATTCAATGATGATCACCTAGATCCCTAATTTTTGTTTCTGATTCAATCGAGCGATTGTGTTTCATCTAGGAGCTAATAATGCTCTGTGACTGGAAGGGACCATAATTTTTAGTTGTCATAATCGCTCTGAATCATGTTCTCACCATTTCTCCTCCCATCTTCGTCCCACTGACACTTTGCAGATCACTAAGTGCGTAGCACACGTCAATGCTCCCACCTCATGGGTTTTATTCATACGGGAGGTATTTGTACCGTCATTTGATAGACCTCTTAATTATGAATCGTGCTCGGTCTCCATTAGACGTGTTTTGTCCACCTTCGAAACTTAAAGCCCTTTATTCCGAACCGGTGGTGGACTGTTTTTGCCATGAGTCGTGCTATTCACTTGTGTGACAAATAGAGTCGGTGTCTTAAGACCGGAAGATTGTCACATCTCTGTCAGTCCTGTTCTATGATTGAGTGTCGCATGGCTTATGATTGACTTTCAGTTGTGGGGGTTTGTTTGATATGACTGGTAGTCGTTTAGTCACTTTCAGACTCACGGAAACATTCCATGTAACCGCGTGAGCCTCCACGGTCTCAAATGAGCGATTGATTCTGTTCATCTTTTGTCCAGTCTTCTTTTTTCCTGTCCGTTGTCTTTCAGTTTTTGCTTCAGATTACTGTCTATCTGTATCGGTTGGCAAAACTTGTCTGCGAATCAAACATTACACGTTGATGGTTCTGAAGCAGTTCATTCTCCTAAACCGATCTTGTTCCGTCGCGAAAAAAACTGTTCCGATTAAACTCCGGCTGTTTACAAACCCGAATAAAAGTGTCCTCGTCCTCGTGGGCGATGGAAGAGTTTAGTAGCACAGATAATTCGCCACAGAATTTCCACTTTCCTGCCCAGGGTACCAATCACCCTGCTCACCGATGCACCTGTTGTTAGACATCTCTTTTTCACTGATAAAATAATTATCTCTGTGTCTACCACCTTATCCACTGGTTTATTTCACACTTTATTCCTCCCCCATTAGACACGTGATTTCGTTGGCTCCCCTTTTCTAAAGGAAATTAGAACTAAGATCGCAGGTGAATTTGTTTGGCCAGTGTGTTATTCTCAAATCGTTACCTTCACATTCATGCAAAAAACTCATTGAGGGTGATGTTGGTAGGGTTAAATAGTAATTGAGGTCAATTATTGATGGCAAAAGGGCGGGTTATGGGTAAGCTTCTCTGCAGTTTTCGTCGTCGTAAGCGTGTTAAGTAGGCGTTGCTAATTGATTCGGGTTATTCCTTTGCTCATACGTAATGTGGTCTACTTTCGGGCAGGGAGGTTTGAGTTGTTGAACTACTTTTTTTAATCCGTAGTTAGAGCAGGTAAAACGGCAGAACTCATCTGACTTCCCTCCAAAGTAGATTCAACAGCTGNTGGAAGTTTCACAACAATTTGGGTTCCGCAGTGAAGACGATGTTGAATGTTGCCGTTTTCAGATTATTTTTATCTCGACCTCACCAGTCATCCAATGTCAGAAGAAGGACGATTAGCTTATGTTGACCTCGTCTGGTAATTCAAATGTACCTGTGGTGTCTCTTACGTAGGTCGTGCTGGAAGTCAACTATCTAAGCTCCCCCAAGAAACATTATCCCGTGAGGCTTAGACAATAAGACTCGGAACTATCTTAAATTCGATTGTTGCTCATTTAGTTTTTGAGCCCTAATTTGGTTTTAAAAATTAGCTACTGGGTCTCAAAACACCAATCCAAAGCGCTAGCAACAGCTGAGACTATTGTCATCGACCTATTGAAGCCTAAATTGTGTGCACCGTCTGTGCACTGTCTCAGGCCTACCTTTGTAAAATGTAGATCACATCACGCATGACTCCAATCAATTTTCAACGCTTACGTAACACGCTTGTGTCTGAACACAAAAACTAAGGGGAAACTTGTCCCCCTCTACCGTTTCACCATCCGTAATTGAACTCAATTACTTTTTGAGCCCACCAATATCACCTTCATTGATTTTTTTTCAAAGAATATGATGGTAACGGTTTGGGAACGAAAACACCGGCAACACAAACTTGCCTACAATCTGTATTCTGGTTATTTTGCAATCTACAGATAATATAAATAAAATGCCAATGAAGAATTATATCCCCGTCGTAGTTCATGTTTTTGAGTGGTGATTGCGCAGTGGTTGATTCGCTGTCACCGGCATGCTTTGAACGCTATGTTCCGAGATTGGAAGCTCGCCACGGTCACTCTGTTTTGCTTTAATCCGATTCAATATCACGCTTATGCTAGTGGGGCCTTATTTGGTTTGCCAATCCAAGTCCCGGGGCTTAATTTTTCGGTTTCCATCACTCACTAGCAGGTCTCCGCGACTATGGAGTTCACTCCATCTGCTATTTATATAACAAAAAGATTTCTAATAAACAGGTTTATTCTGTAATACCACAAAGTGTGTAAGTGACAGTATTATGGAATGCTCGTCACAGAATGAGTTTCCTTCACTCGTGGTTTGCAACCGTCTGTGTGTATACTCAGTACACATGCGGCACGCACCTTATGCCCTCACTAATTGGTTTGGTCGGGTGGAAAACTACGCACATTTCTCAACTTTGTCAAATATATCCATCATTGGACAAGATTATTTCTTTTCAAATTTGTTTTACTTCAGAAAACCACGCCGCTGCTGCGCCGTGAGGTTTTTCAAGTGAATCTGTGCTCAATAAACCAGTATGACTCATAAATTCGGTATGTTAATTGCCAGATTTTCAGCTTCATGTCCCAAATTGCAGAACTTTTGATCGTTCGGTCAATCAGATGATGGTTTTTGCGTGGAAATGCTTGAACATCAACGTAGTCCGTGTCACGTTGTCGTGTTGAATCAATATCACGAGGAATCTAACAACCCGCCATTCGTTTCATTCTGTTGCTTTCAGCATCCATAAACGGCCCGAGTCTCTTGAAACAGTTGTCATAATCATGTCGCATTGTTATTTTAACTTATTGTGTTCATTATGAAAATCCGACTTGCTGATTGCTCAAATGCGATCTTTTATCGTCTCTTCAATAATGCAGGTACATTGCCGCTTGAATTTCTTGCATAGGGAAGTATTTCATTTATGTACTCGTCTAATTCGTTGGCTTCTTCCATCTTTCTTGCTTTTGTCACCCGGTTTTTTCTTCTGATTTGTCTTTTTCTCCCATCACTCAGTTTGGCCACACAACAGGAGGAATCACTGTTTGCTCACACGGGTCGTCTTGCTCGGCATCACATCATGCTGGGACTGGATACAATAGCCGCACTGCGTCGTGTGGTCTCCATCTGCCCCCGACTGATTACACACCCTATTCTGGTTGATCGAATCGCTTGCATGCTGAACTATTTCCTCGCCCGTTTGGTGAGTTTGTCGTATCCGAATGAGTGCAACGTCGTATAACCATCCAGTCTATAGATATATGTTTACATCTACGCGACGCTATACAGTGCTCTTCGTCGAGACCAAACAAGTTTCTCCGCTTCCTGGGAAATCCAGGAAGTGATATTTGTTTAACTCACGGAGATTAGTTGTCAGCGACCTCCTCGTTCATCAGTGTGCATGACATAATATTCTTTTGGTGAGATGTTTATAAACAGCCGTCACGCATGAGAAAGGCGCTTTGTTCCATTTTATGAAACTTCCCCATGTTGCGAATAATGGTATAATAGTTAACCCAGAAGCCTTTACACACGATTTTGAACCCTGATTGCGTATTTGCAATAGACATCACCGAGGGCGCCAGGGTTGCCACAGACAAGTCAGCAGGTACTTCAACACAGTGTACGCAGAACTCAAGAAACGGATACTGACACTGTGTATCTCAATATTCCGGTGACCTTCCTCGAAATAGCTCGATAGACCACTGTGTTAAACACGTGATTAAGTTGCGTTTTAACATGGCATGATGACCGTGTATACTCTGAAGGAGTTTCTGTAGTTAAATTAGTTGAGATCGTGACTGCTATGACGGAGAGGATGAACTTCGATACTGAATTCCAAAATGATGGTCTTCCAATAACGCTTCACTTCCAGGTAACGATTCCACAGGTAGCGATATACAACACAGCTTTTAGGGTCTATTTATTGATTGATTGTTCAAATTATCGTTCTTTATACAGTAGCGGGAGGACATGGGGATGCATGTATGACCTAACTTTTTATTGGGCTGTGATCATCACCTTTGATTGGTTAACAGTTTGGACTAGTCCATTCAGTTCAACTATGCTTGATGTGATAAGTTGTCTCAGGACGAAGCTGTTTTCAGTGAGAATATTCCCTGACAGAGAAATGTCCGCTCGAAGAGGATAATTTATCTTCGAGAGTACATTCCAGAGGATTTGCGCTGTAGCAAGAATGTAGGATCATCAGCACATGACGGCGTGATGTGTGATTACTCTGCCATTCAGCGTTTCAACGAATACCCCTGTTAGCAGAAATAGATACCATATAGTTTGCGAAAGTGTCCACTGAAGTCCTAAAACTAGAGTTAATGAACCCCACCTATCTCGAGCAAGGTTAGTATAGCTTTATATATTTTCATACATGTCTAAGTTAGTACTGTGTCAAAAAAATCTCGGTACAATCAGGAAGAATAAAGGTCCATGATTTCCTCGGATCTACGATACTACTAGTTTGCTTAAACCAAAGCAGGTGAATTTTCTCAGGGACTTCACAGTCAGAACCTTCGGCTAGCAAAGCAGGATTCGCAAGGCAACGGGATGGTGTGCGAAAACCGCAATTCATTGGGGGCCGGTTTCCAGTTCATCGGATCATACACCCTTCGGACGAGGTTAAACGTCTATGGTGCCCATTTGATCCGGTGACTGTTACCACGACCAGGAAGCTGTGGATGAGAGTAGTTCGTACGGCTCTTCTAGGTTAGTTTGGGGTTTTAGGCAACTTCTCTGGGTGAACTGTCAGTGGTTCACCGACCCGATTATCGCCTCGGATATTCACATTTTGCCCTCCCACTTTAGTGAGAAAACACCTCCACCACTTGGAGGCAGTGAGTAGGCTTCCTGAACAGGGATCATTTGAAACACTTGGTCGTACGGGGATATTTCGCGTGGTGCAACGGAGGGATGATCAGCCGCAACCCACGACCATACTGAGGCTTTCAAAGGTGAGCAGGGTTGATATCGTGCCTCAACTTTAAAGGTTAGTGGAGTCTTTTGCTTTCAAAGAACGTCTCCCTAAATCCCTGTACCATTAAGTGTATATTCCCTTCTCCAGGTGATGAATCTCCATCGTTTGATTGCTTGTGATATTTTACCATTTTCCTTACCCGTGTACCACTCCACCTCGGTGTTTTATCGCTTCAGGTGGGACCTAAGCAACGTGATCTCACTGTGCGTGATAAGGCAGCCTACGGATTCCGACCCGACCTGTTGGTCATTGAAATTTGTCAAATTTACAACAGTCTTGCGCTCCAATCCGATGTTGGTGAGTTGTGCAATTTTGCCTCATGTCTTACTGAACTTCATGATTGATGATCTAAAACAATGCTTTCGATTGCATGTATCTGTTCAACTTTATGACCCAATTTTTTTCACCCCAACCACTGGAGTTGAGCGGAATGTGTCGCTTCCCGGGCACGTAACAGCATAGGTAGGAGATCGTGTGAGCAGCTTTGT